CGGTGGCCGGGCAGTTTGGTGTTGCTGTTCCCAGCCAGGTACTGGAGCTTGGAGAAACGATTTTACTGACTTTTCCCCCCCCGCCCCGCCAAGGCAAAATGAGGTGTTTTGTTATCAGAATATCTAACAAATTTGTCTGTGGTTCAGAATAACCACCATCAATTTATTTTTTCGGTCAAAACATTTCATTTCAACATTACTGAAATGAAATAATATTTTTTTTCTTTCCCATCTGCCTGCCTTTGCTTGAAAATACCCTGACAGTTTATTGAAAGGAAGGCTTGCATCCGAAATGATGCATTTCTCGTTGCTTCACCAACCCAAACAGATTGCCGAACCTAAACCACAGCATTTTTCCCCTTCTTGATGGGTGGAAACATTGGAAATTGAAAACTAACCTGAAACAAATTTTCTTTTCCTTTTCTTTTTGTTGTTGTTGTATGTCTGAAAAATCCCTTATCCCACAGCTTCAGTTTTGCATCTTCCAGGCAAAAATCAGTAAAACATTTTTGGGGATATGGGATGTTGTGGGAAGCTGTGAGATGTCTCTTTTGCTCTGCCTCTGCCATCAGCTTTTCCCATCGCCAGCTATGCCGTGCTGGGAACCGGGAACCGGGGTGCTGGGAACTGGGAACCAGGGTGTTGTTGGAAACCCCTCAAGGGCTTTGGGACCTGGGTTCATGAACCGGGTTGTAATTCTGATACGGTCAAGCTGGCAAACAGGCTCGCCCTGGTTTAGGGCATCGTGGCTCTGGGGGATTTGCTGATGCTTCGGCAATATTTTAGCATTGCTTTGCAGCTGGCCCAGCCTGCCCACGGCTCTGTGGTCGGGTCACTGCCGGCGGGGCCGTACAGCCGTCCGGATTGCTATTGCAGATGCTCGGAGCTGCAGCTCAGGGTGGGATGTGCTGTCCTTGCAGCTACAGCCCTGCCCCGGGTCCAGCCGGGCTGGCAGAGCTTCCTTGGGTGTGTTTGGAGCCGGCCGGGTCTGCTGGCAGGGCTGCCTGCCCTATTTGTGCAAATCAAGCAGTTGAGATGCAGCCGGCGTCCTTCGCCAACCTAGATTCGCTTGAAAGAAACTCCTTCCTTCTGGAGAGAGATCTGAATCGTGGCTTGGACGTGGCTTGGGTTTTCACTATGGGTTTTTTCACCAGGAGAAGCCCTTCTGCTCCCCTCCCTTGTCCTTTCGGAGGTGGCACCCACTCCGTGTCACCCTGCGACTGCTGGGGAAGGTTTTTGGCAAGCCGTGCCTCTGCCATTCATCCCCCCTTGGAGCAGTTTTGGGTTTCCCTGATGGCTCACATCCCTGGTCTATTTATAAAGAAAATTGAAATCATGGAAGCACCAAACAGCTCTGCCCCAGAGATCCAACCCCAGCACAGTCGCACGGGGCCAAGGGACAAATTGCATCCCCCAGGGAAAGGTGATGCCGGGAGGCTCGTCCCGGGGATGGATTGTGGCTGTTAGCCAGGGTTAGAGGCTGGAGAAGGAGAGAGGTTTGCAGGTACCACCATTTTGTTGGCCTTCAGCTTTTTCCATTGTCAAAAATAGTCCTCGCACAAGCAATTTAATAGACCCAATATTCTGGTGTAGTGAAGAGAGGAGGCTTCATTATATTAAAGTCAAACATACAGGAATATAATGGAAAATTATACATTTCGACTATGCTTGAAAGAGTGGCGTATTAAAAATCACAGTGAAAATAGCTGGTTAAAGTGTTCCCAGCCTGCTGTTACGTGCTGGCAGAAAATTGCATTATTTTTCTACTTATTTGTCTGATGACGGTTGGATTTTTTTCTTTCTTTCTTTTCCTTTTCAGTGAGGGAGACTTATTGCTCTCTTCAGCTCTGGGCTTCCTGCTGGAGACTCTAAACCCAGGGTTCTCATGGTGGTATCCCCACGGAGCACCAGTAACTCCCCATTTGGCTGATGGAGAGCACTGGGGCTGGAGAGCTCTGGCCCCTGTGTTCCCCACCAATGCCTGGGGGAAGGGGTGGCAAAGTCCATCTTCACCGACCCCTCCGTTCCCTCCTGTGGCATCCCGTGCATCACTCTGCCGGGCGTGGGATGCAGTGGTCCCCACCTCAGAGCATCCCCACACACCTCCCAGGGCTCCGGGGCTCCCAGCGTGGGAAGTGGCACTAATGATGTGGCTGTCAAGGGGAGGCCGAGCCTGTCAGATTTTAATTCAAAAATTACCTTCTCAAAATTGGCTTTTTCTATCACTCCTGGGTGCATGAGCTAAATCCTAATGAGACTGGGAGAGGGGAGCAGGGGGGAATGAGAGCCTTTGGGGGAGTCCCCGGGGGGGGAGGAGAGGGGCACATGGAGGAGCGGGGGCTGCAGCGGGCTCTGGCTGCAGCATCCTGATGCCCTTGGACCCGACAGGGCTCCCGGGAGCCCATGGGCAGGCGGGATTGTGCCCGGAGCATCACCTCTGGATACAAGTGCAGGTGTAAGGAGGTTTTCTGTCTCCACCCCGCTGTGGATGTGCTGCATCCCACCGGGTATCACAGCAGTGTTTTGGGGGAAAGAGGTTGTTTTATGGAATTACGTCTGTACCACACCTGGTGTAATGGGGTCCTGGGAAAAGCCCCCTCCCAGCATTGCAGCCATGAAAGCAGTGGTAAGATAAGGCCAAACATTGGTGATGCTGAGCAAGGGGTGGTTTCTCTCCCCTGAATCGGTGCCAGGCAGCACCCAAAACCAGCTTAGGCTTTGTGTGACTGAGATGGGCACTTTTGCTTCGTGGAGGACTCTGCCCCAGTTAACTGAGCGCCCATCAGCATTTCAGAGGCAAGATCGGTGCCTGTCATTGTGTCAGCCCTGATTAGCCTACACATCTGTAATTAGACGGAGCAGCTGTGATTTCCAGCCTGGCTGAGATCTCAGGTGGGATATTTATGGCAGGGAGATGCTTACAGGGATCTTCTCTAAGGCAGACTGAGCCTTTGAGCTTGGGTTTGACAGGTACTTCAAAAGGAGATAGCTATTTTGGAGGTGCAGAGCTCAGAAAATAGAAGGAACAGTGTTTTCTGGATGAATTATCTTTGGGCTGGTTTTGCTTATAATCCTTCTTTTGCACAGGGGAAAGGAGGGGGGTCCCAGGACCAGCCCCTTCCATGTACCAACATCCTGCAGCTCATGTAACATCTCCTGGGAAAAATAAGAGAGTATGGAAAAATCTATCTTCCCAGGGCAGAAAGTTCCTTAAAAAATAATTTGTCCCAGAGGGAAGGGGCGCATCAGTGACGCAGCCCTCATGGCAATGCTCTTCCCATGGGGGAAAATCACTGCTGACCCCAGGGCAATGGCCAAGCACCGGCCCCGGTGGAGGGCAGCGAGCCCGGCTGGCTGCTTCTGCCCGCTCACCCTGGGAGCTGTGCCACTGCTGTGCCAGGGACGTGCTCGTCTGGGGGATGCTGCTGTGCAGAGGAGGGGGGTTCCCATGCCAGGACCCAAGGGTGACTCTCAGGACAGGGAGATGTGACGTCGGGAAGTGAGCGCAGGCAGAAGTCTCCCGAAGACCGGCAGCGTTTCGTAACCCACGCTAAAAATACACGGTGGTTTAAGTGCTGCTGGCTCTGTATAAATAGCAGTTATCAACGTGGGGGTGCAGCGACAGCACCGGCATCAGCGTGGGCATCAATGTTTGCTCCGTCCCGGTGTGCCGCCGGCTCCTGCCTCCCTGCCCCGTCCCAGCCCAAGCCGGCGGCAGCGGGGAGCACCAAGGCTCTGGGGCTGGGAGAGACGTCGGCTTCCACCCCGTCACAGCCATCTGCGCTGGGCAGCAAACCCTCAGCGAAATGGCAGTGGGAAAAGAGAAGTTTTTTTTTCCTGTATTGGGCACAGCCAGTCCCAGCCCTGGGCTTTTCACCGGCCGGTTTGGTGGGTCATAGCACCAGGGCAGCAAAGCCTGGACCTTCCTCTCTGAGCAGGCAGAGCCGTGCCGAGGTCAGAGCACACAGGAGCAGCAGGCCACCGTCAGGATGCTCTTGCCCGGCTTTAGCTTGGCGTCTTTACCACTCCTAACTCCTCCTCTGTATTTTAAAATTACTCCCCCCTGCCTTGCCCGCATCTGCGGAGTGTCTCTTGGGCTGAAATAGTTCATACCTTAATTGGAAGTGACCTATGATGAAAACTGATTTTATTTTATAACTTACCGAAAATGAAGAAAAGCGAGACTCAAATGGAAGAGGGTGACTTCATTTTCACCAATACGTGAGTTGAACCCAAATTAATCCTTCACGCTCTTTCTCTAGCGCTTTATGGCTTTTTATCTGGTTTTCTCCCCTGCTTGCTTTGGTGGACAGACACGAGCCATGGGCTTCGGCAAGTGGGGAGAGCCGTTGCCCAAGGCACTGCTGTCCTGGGCCACCGGGCTCAGGGGGAGGACAAGGCTGTCCCCGCTTGCTGCCTGCGCTCTGCTTTTCCCCCTTCACAGGTGGACCCTTACCTGCCTTACGAGTACACCTGCGAGGGGATGCTGGAGCGGATCCATGCCTACATCCAGCACCAGGTTGGGGAGCATCCCTGTTCTCCCTGGGGGACCATCCCTGTGCTCCCGTGGGTCCGTTCCTGTTCCTCTGGGGCAGCAGGTGCTGACCCAGTGCAGCTCCCCAGCGAGGGACCCCAGGTCCCAGCCCTTGGCCCGATTGCAGAGAGCACCAGGAGATGGGGGCTGGGGGAGATTTGTCATGAACCAAAGATGCTGGGGGGTTCGTACAGGGTGGCTGTGGGGCTGGGGCTGGGTCAAGGCCTTTCTGCTGCAAAGAATAAGGCAGCACTGGGAGAAGATGAGGTGGCCGCTGCGTTGATCCCCCACAGCAGGAGATGCCATCTATGCATGGAGGTGACCTCAACCTGAGGAGCAAACTCAGCAGCCCAAGTGCCCTCCTGTCCCACCAGCATCCTCCCTTCCCCATCCCCAACATCTCACCCTGTCCCTCTGGGCACTGACCCAATTTTCTTCTCTCCCACTAGGATTTCTGCACCACGTCATCTCCTCCTCTGCCTCCCAAGGCCAAGAGTCCTGCTATGCAAAGCCCTCCGAGCCTGCTGGCCCTGTCCCCCAACGCCACTCACCTGGTGTGGTCCCCCAGTGCCAGCCGAGACCCCCACACCTGGCCACCGGTGGACTCACTGCAGGTGTGGGTGTCGGAGACCCGGCACACGTGCACCGAGACGTGCCGGCGGCACGGGCTGGTCTGTGAGCCCACCTTCTTCAGGTTCCTCAACAAGAAGGAAGTGTTTCACCAGTAAGTTGTAACCTTCTCAGCGAGGTGGGGGCAGGGGCCATCAGCCAGACAATGTTCCCTGTCCTCCTCCCATCCCCAGTACCCATTTTCCTCATGTCCTCCCTGCCGAAATCCCATGGAGGTGCCTTCGTGCCCAAGGCGACGTAGGCAGGGCGCTGCCTGCAAAGCAGCCCATTGCTTGCACGTGTTGGCTTTGAGCTTCACACTTCAGAAGGCAACGATAGCCTTTCCAGGCACGTTTCCGCCTCTCTCCCACCCCCTTCCTCTCCACCTCCTCCACGCTCTCTCCCTTTCTTTCTTTTTTTATGTCTTTCTCTATAAAACTGCATTTTGAACACACAGCGGTGAAGTTTTAATAGAGTATAAATCTGCCACCGGGCTCCGTGCTGCTCTGTAGGCAATTAAAATGCGAGCGTTACCATTGCTGTCATGCTGGTCAGGCAGGCGCTGTGAGTCCCACTGACATTTTTATATGATAAATTAGAACTGAAGCTTGGATTTCACTCTCTCCCCTCCATGCCCCCTTCCAGACGTTAAAACAAGCTGGCTCGGGGACTCACCGGTTGAGAGGGATTGGTGGGAGGGTGATGCCAGCGCTGCCGCTCCATCTGTAGATGTGGGCATGGGTGGGAGGAAAGGGATGCTGAGATTGGCACTGGGCATTTCTGCTGCTCCTTGGGGTGTTTGCTGATGTCCACCCTGGTTTTGCTGGCTAATCCTGGCTGGCAGGGGACACGTGGGCATCCGTTGAACTCATGCGCCCTTCCAAGGGACATCAGCTGCTGTGGGAGGTGTCACAGAGAGCGGCCAGACCCGTTGGTCAGCGGTCAGATTTGAGTGGATTTTTGTGCGTGATTTCTTGAGCCGTCCATGGCCCACGCAAGGGTTGGGGTGTTCTCTGGGCGGCAGGGTTGAGGTGCAAGGGTCACCCCTTCCTCCACGGTGTGTTGGGGTGGTGACGAGCATTCCCGTCTAGCCAAGGGGTGCCAAACACGGTGCTTATGGTTCCTGGTGCAACCAGCAAAGATCTGGCCCAACACTTAGCGAAGGAACCACCCCAGGAAGGACAAGAAACCCTTCAGTGAAACCCCAGGCAGCCCCCTCACTTGAACCAACCCACCTTTATCTTTGTTGCCAGGCTCAGCATCACCTGCGACAGCACCGAGTACGAGATGAACCATCTTTACCCAGCAGTGGCCGAGAACGTCCACGAGAGCTACCTCCAGAAGGAGCCACTGCTCTTCAGCTGCGCGGGCTACAACACCACGTACCGGCGCCTCTGCCCCTGCCGCGACTACCGCAAAGGACAAGTGGCTTTGTGCAGGGACTGCTTGTGACTTGGTGTGTGTGTCCCCTCTCCGTGTTTGTGACATGCAACGTGCAACGAGTGGCTTTTTCTCAAAGCTTCTGCAATAGCCGAGGGAGGTGGGACAGGTCCCTCCCGGCAGGGTCAGACTCTGGGGGGTTGGTTCATCCACTAGTCAACTGTGAATGACCATGTCCTGACATTTGATTTCATTTTCTTCTCGAGGAGCATCGTCCGACCGCATCTGAACCCACCTGGACCTGGTGGCACTGGGATGGGGTGGTGGGGAGAGGGGGGGGCTTTGGACACCTTTCCCCTCCTCTGGCAATGGGACAAGCCACCAGCAGACTGCAGTTTCAGGGTTTTCATCCTCTTCAAGCATCCTAGGTTGTTCTATTTATTGATTTTCTTTTTTTTTTTTTTTAGCCCTCCCCCCAACAAGTGGTAAATTAAAGGGGAAGCAACACCCAGCCCTTCTGTAGGAGTTATTGGGCAGAGCGGGGTTGGGGGGCACA